GGCAGTCCAATTTATTATTATTCATTCAACAATCGTTTACTGAGCACTGAACTCTATGCCAGGCATTTTTCTAAACACCAGATATAAAATAGTGAACAAGAGATGATCATAACCTCTGCCCCAATTACATATACTTAAGTTTATTACTGTCACGTTATAGAATAATAAACGTTAATGCAGTTTTATAAATTACTTAAAATATATTCAGAACTGGATTGTTTGGTGGGGGGTGTTTGGTCATTTCCCAGTATGTTAAAGTTGTAGGCCAAAAAAAAAAGTTATCAATGGCTGCTTAGTTCACCACCTTTCTGAAGTCATCCACACATCTGTCCGTCCGTCCGTCCATCCAACCATCCATCCAACCACCCAACAAATACTTATAGTCTACAATGTGCTAGACACTGTTTCAGGTGCAGGTTTTTTCCACTGAACAAAGCTCCAGTCTTTGTGAAGCTTATACCCAGATGCCTTAATGGGAAGGAACCTCACCTGTAAGTCAGATGTGCCACACTCCAAACACAGTAAGAAAAACTGTCAGAACCAGAGGGAAGAAAGCCATGGGTCTGGATAATTCGCAAAGACAACCTTCACAGAAATGACGAGTTAGCAACCTGAGAGTCAGATGTCTACTACAGTTCATTTTGGATACTCTGTGTGGTTTCAGCATTAGCTTTAGTTTAAGAGAGATTTTAAACTGCTCCAAGACCTTGCTATCATCTGTAATAAAAAACAACACCTCTGCTGGGCACAGTGGCACATGCCTATAATGCCAGCAATTCGGGACGCTGAGGCAGGAGGATAACAAGTTTGAGGTCAGATTCAGCAACTTACCAAGACCCTATCTCAAAATAAAAAGGGTTGGGGATATAGTACAATGGGAAAGCCCCTCTGGGCTCAATCCCCAGTACGAGGTGGGAAAACACCTAACAGCTGAAATTACCTTTCTAGTTCTTCTGGAAATCAAGTCTTCTAATCACATGATATACCTGGGGCATATGAACTGCCAGCTAGATCAATATGTTTAAAAATAAACTCCCTCAAATCTGTGGAATCTGCATAATTTATATAAATTATTCAGACAAATTGATATTGGATAGTGATTCTAGAATATCCAAATCTTAAAAATTTTCCCT